TTTTTGTGGGTTAGAAGACTCGAAGCTGGCCTTTGCTTCCTTTTTCGCATCAACTCTAGCTCCAGTCTTCCGCACATTGACACTCTCACTCCGAGAGATCGGTCTTATGCCACGCGCAACTCCTGCATGCTGATTCCGCCGCCGCCTCTTTGTACTACATCTAAGCGCTCCCTCTTCTTTGCTTCCAAATATGCCTTCCTTTGGAATACTCTTCCGCCTGAAATTAGATTATCGCCTAAGTTACTGGTATTCAAGTCGAACTTACGCAACCATCTTACACCGGAAAGCATAAAGGCACTGTTAACGGTCTCATTCCCGAACACTCAGATTCTTGACTTCGAGAAGGGTCCTCCTGGGATTTAGTGGTAGATTAAGTGGTAAGTCTTAATTATATCCTTAGAAACCCCTGTTTTGAATTGGTTTCTAAATCCATCGCTATCCTTCCCCCCCATAGCGACAATTTTCGCGGTTTTTGATGTCATCTCCCGCATTCCGACCTCATGCGGTCTGTCGACACTCACGGCGGAACCCTCAGTCTTCACTGTTTACTAGTAGTTCGGTCGTACCTCCCTTCCTCACTGCTCGGCTGAGCTCGAAGCGTGCTGTGGCCGATCGCATCTCGGTTCCTCTCGTCTAGCCTCTTTGACGCGGCGTACCAATCCGGCCCAGACGATCTCAATTGTGAATCCCGTATACAATGCCATTTGCAAGCCAGTCCTGTCTGACCCACATTCGTACCCATCAAGGCGGACATTTATTGATACCCTGACGATGACCGACAACATTCCGTTATATACCGCCACCTACAGGCCAGTCCTGCTCGCTTTTTTCTGTTATTATTTTTAAAGAGGGGTTGTTTTCTCCTGTAAAATTAATCCAATCATTTTTAACTTTTTCCAAGGAGTTTTTTTCACCCCTCAATCATCATGTTTCTCAATGGACTTCTAATTTAGAAACTAGGAATTGCATTTTGTAAAGATTCGGCCTACCTCGTCTAAAACTCGCATGCAAATTTATTTTAACTTGCTTTGATGGGACCCCGACGGGTCTGTAATAAAAATTATCTATCTATCTATCTAATCTCCATGAATAATTATTAGATATTTTTGCTTTATAATTTTCTGAGTCGGTTAGTGTCTACTTCCTATGTTGCCTTCCCAAGCAGTAACTCTACAACGTCCTTTTTTTAAATAATAAATAATAGTGTATTTTAGGGTAATAGGCAATGACCTTGATGACCCTATTGAAAACTGTACATAAAATATTAATGTTAAATGTACATCTTGCTAAAACCTTGTTAGTAAAATATTTGTTCATGGAAATCATTTTCACAATGCGGGACTGCGAAGGATGCGGCAGGCGGTCTTCTCAGTGTACATATGAAATTTTAAGTGCAGTTATATACAATCAGCATAAAGTGCAGTCATTTGCTTAGTTTGAGAGGAGGCATCTAATTAAAAGTCAGGGATGTGTTAAGTAGGGATGAAATCAAGAAATGAAATTTATGGCTGGCCGCAGACAGCCCCGTTGTGAAGGTCGTCCTTTACCAAAGATCAAACGATCCAGCTGCCTTTTGAATACAGCGATTGTATTATATGTTACTATTTCACTTGGGAGTGAGTTTCATGGTCGAACAACACGCTGGCTGAAGGAAAACTTCTGATTGTCTAGGCGTGTACGCTCCCGCTTGACTTTGTACGGGTGACCGCGCAGGTGACTCGTGGTCGTGATTTCAGAGAAGTCGTCAGTTTTGAGCGAACATTCATGTCCGTGGATAATGCGGAATGTCCATAACAGGTCACACCTCATTCGTCTATAAGATAGGGGGAACAAATTTAACTGGATCAGTCTTTCTGGGTATGACACAGTCCTGAGACCGTCCACCAGTTCTGTGGCCCGTCGTGCACCTGCTCTATCATCATTGTCTTTCTTCATCCAGGGCATCCATGATGGCATTCCGTATTCCAAGTGCGGTCTAAGAGTAAAGACTGCTTGTAAGACAGGAGTGACCACGACGAAATCCGTGCTGAGCAGCACATAGCAGGCCCTCTGCTCCAGATACGACATTAAATGCCCTTTAATAAGTCGTCCCATTACCTTACATAGAATGCAGGTTAAACTAATAGGACGGTAGTTTTCGGGTTCCAACCTGGATCTTCCTTTATAGATTGGAGAAATATGGGCCGTTTTCCACTCCTCTGGCAGTTCGCCTTCTTCCATGGACTTCCGAAATTTCATGGACACCGGCTCACAGAGTACATCAGCTAATTCTCGGAGGACAAGTGGATAAATTCCATCTGGACCAGGTGATTTGGCAGATTTCAGCCGGCGTAGTTCGGTCCTTACCAACGTGGATAAGAAGAAAAGATTGTCTTCCAATGCAGGACAGGAAGGATTTTGTCGTTGGTCTACGTATGGCATGGCAGGAGGGTTTGTGCCATGAGTGAATACCGACTGAAAGAAATTGGAGAAGGCTGATGCTTTCAGGTGGTCATCTGTCTCAATTACTCCGTTTTGGGGTCTTAGCGCTGGAATCGGTTCACGATTGCTCTGTCCATTACGGATGTAACTATAGAGGATTTTAGGTTGATCCAAGGAATTTTTTAATATGCACAGCTCATAGTTGCTTCGAAGTCTATGAGCCGCGCGTTTACACGCATTCCGCTGTCGCTTGTAGTCCTTCAGGTCTTCAGAACTGTCTGTTTGTCGATAGCGTCTCCACACTTTATTTCTCCTCTTAAACGCGGTTTGAAGTTTCCGGTTTATCCACGGCGGACGGTTGCTAATTTTCTTTCGTCTCAGTGGACAGTTTAGATCGACGATTCTTTTGACTAGTGAGCTGAACGTGCTCCAATAGTCATTAACTGTTCCCTGCAATGTGGTTGTCCACGGTATTGCTGAGACTTGTGTTCGCATGCTAGGAAAATCCCCTTCCAGATATTTTCTTGTAATTGTTCAGGTGAATTAGGCTGGGAGAGCATGGAATGCTCGAAGAGCATCACAATATGATCACTAGCACCAATTGGCGGGAGATCTTGTATATCCAGCACACTCTCCTCATCTCGAGTGAGCACCAGATCGAGGCAATTTGAACGTTGCCCTTCCCTAACACGTGTTCCGAGAGTTACATTCTGGAAAAGTAGTTTTTCTGCTGCCAATTCAAGCACATGTTGCCAGAATGTGTTCGATGGACCCGAAACCGTCCAAGCTTGCCAGTCGATATTGGGGGCGTTAAAGTCCCCGACAATAAGGACGTCTCCGTTCGAGCAGGTCTTGCTCATTTCCCTTAGGAGAAGGTTATCGTGTTCGGAAATCTGGTTTGGGGGACGATACACAACTGCAAACGCTAGAGGCCTGGCATATTTGGAGGAGATAGTTAAGGATAAGAATTCGACTTCCGCTGTTGTTGTTGGATTATGCTCGGGGACAGCGGTTAGGTTGTAGCTAACATAGACAGCGACCCCTCCTCCTCGGCTTCTCCTGTCTCTTCTGAACAGTTGGTAGCCTCTGAGGGATACCTCATAGTCTCCAATAGCTTCAGAAAGCCATGTTTCTGTCAAGGCGATGATATCTGGCGTGTGCTCGTCGATCAGAGTCCTGAGTTCATCCATCTTGTTAAACAGACTCTGCACATTTGAATACAGCACCTTTAGTGCCCGTCTTCTCGGGGGGAACTGGCCCTGATTACAAAGGGCTTTGGCCACAGGAACGATCATTTGATCTGTATTATCTTGCCTTCCTTTATTTTCAACCCCTTCTCCCCCTCTTCTGTCCTTCTTTTCAGTTCTTTCCAGAGCTCCCTCATCTTGTGTCTTTCTGTCGGTTCGTAATCCGGCTAAAAAAAACACTTCCTTATGCGAATGACGAAGGGCCATCCTCCCTTTCAGGAGATGTGAGGCCTGGGCTTCATTTCCAAGAATAATTTTAAGAGGCCTTGGTAATGCACGCGACGCATCTGCGTTTCCTAGACGGAAAGCTTTGTGCACGGTAACGCATTCTCCGTCCTTAAGGATGGCATTTGAATATGTATGAAAGAGGTTGAGATCGTATTCGATTCTTTCTTTTGCAGTCGAAGAATTGGACTCAGGAGCTCCCTTTATGACGATGTTTCGTTTTCGGTAAAGATGCCTGTCTGGAATAGAATCCCTACGTTTATTTTTACACGCACGTTCAGCATTTCGCCAATTTCCGTTGTCATCGTTTGACTCAGAGACAGCTGTGATGGCGTAGCTACCACAGGGTTCCTCACCAACCGATTCGTGCGATACATCCTTCGGCAGTGTGGTATTTGGTGGCATTGTGTGTGGACTCTGCTCTCTCGTACGAACAGTCTGACCTGCTTTTTCTTTCCGGGATGCCCCGGGGCGATTCTGCGTTTTCTGAGATCCCTCTCTGTCGTTCTTTTCTTGCACAAGAGTTCGGCTCTCAGTTGTGATTTCTTCCTTAGACGGGCAGTCTTCTTCCTTGGCGGCTGATCCAGTTAATGAGACTGTGCTTGAATATGTTCTTTTTGTTTTCTGAGGGTCTGACATCGCCGACTTTCTCTGTACGGGTGAATGGCGAGGAAGTTTCGTTCTAATAGTTATGAGTCCGATGTTCTTACCAGCAAAACTCAGTAAGAATACTGTCTAGTTGTTTAGAAAGCACATCGGTTTTATCTTAGCGCAAACGCTACTTGACGCTTACATCATTGTTTTACTCGCCCGATATAAAGGCCACCGTAAAAACGCAAAATGAAACAATTTCAAAATTCTTCTGAGTGATCGTTTGTAATGACAATCATACTAGAATAGAACATGTCCCCACGTCCAAATCTCAAATCAATAAAATGTTCATGTTATCCCGTTGATCGCTGCCCTTTCAATGGGGCTAAAAACGGGATATGCATAACCAATGCTGGATGTTTTAAAACTATATCGTTGTTGAACGGACTTTACTCTGAAGAAATGGGTTGTTTTAAGAATAACTCGAATCACATGAGAATGATTTGCTCTGTTAATATGGGCGCATCTCAGGCCATCGGATGTTGCAACGATCGTGACTTCTGCAACAGAAACCTTCGGATTCCCAACAGTTTGTGTGGGTTATAGTGAAATTTTTTTTATTTCTTTAAGTTATCGCGCATAACAACTATCAACCACTTTTAAGTTCGTATATTTTGTCTGCTTGTAATTTTATTCATAACTTATCAGTACACATATAAGGGTTTATCGTGATAAAAACAAAGTGCGTTTTGACTACCAATCTTCTAAATAAGTAAAATTCTAGTTTGCGAAAGTTTTCATCTTGCTTCTGTGTTCTGCGTAGGCATTTTTTATCTTAAACCACTAACGCCAGGCTTTCGCCTTTCGATATGCGGGCGCTTGTACAAGATTAATCTCCCTGGATTTCTTAACTGTAAAGAGGCGTTTTCACCAAAATCTTTACTGACTCTCATAGTGAAATGCAGTATAAAGTTCTTGCTCGAACCATTTCCGAAAAGGTATTGGAGGTTTTATGCAACCGAAGGTCAAAGTACCAATATTAAACTTGGCAAGTGTGTCTTTGTAAGATGTCTTGTTAATGCAATGGACTCCTTTAACTCGAAAAATAGCGCCTTCTATGGAGGGCGCCTTCACATTTGCTTACAAAAATATTTTGGTCAAGAATTGGTCTTGTACATCTCACTCACGATGTACTGCTGTTTATTTCAGACACTTTTGAGTCTCCTATCATAGCAAAAATAATTTAGTTATTGGAACTGTTTTATTAACTATGTACCAGAATCTTGGGCCGTCTTCAGTGTCCGTAGGTCGTGGTTAATTCAATATACTCAAAACTCTGGACCTTGATGATCCGACAAGTAACTTTCAGGCTGCGGGAACAGTTATGGACGTTTTAAGTGTACCGCTTCTCCTTCCCTTAGATGCACACGTCCTATGCACACGCTATCCCGACAGTCGTGCAGTACTTTTGGTTTTATGTCTTGGTATCTGAGTTTGGTTTACTGTCAGCATATCCCACAAAAACTTGTTTTTCTTGTCACGGACCTCCATATCCATGTGCACATTCCTCGAATTTATGAGCCAATCTCTGATACTTCTGAAAAAAGTCGAAGAGTTGAGCAGGTATTCATCAGACAAACTTCGACATCGTTCAATTTTCCAGAAAACATGGTGTCTCTCAACTTCTTGTTTTTTTATGTGCGTATTTATTTTTCATTTGACAGCTGGCTCGATGGCGCCCGTAAATGGTCCTGCTTATACGACTTTCGCCGGTTCAATCCATCCGACAACGGCACGATACAACAATCCGGACATGATGCTCTCCAGCTTCAGCACGCTTGTACCCAAAACTTCTCAAATGCCAGTGCAGGATATGAGAACTTCTCCTGCTTTTCCAAATTCCATCTTCTTCCTGGCCTGTGGATTTGTCCCGCTTCTAATTCTGACTATTGCCTTAATCGTATATTTGCTCTGTCGCTGCCCACAAGATCCAAAGGAAAACTCAGCCGTATCCTCCTTTCAAGTTTCTTCAGCTTCTTCATCTATCCATACGCCCCTAACCGCTGTTGAACATCCTAGCCAACAGAGCCGCTGGAAGTCCGCTGTAGGCCTCGATACGCAGCACTCATTTCTTCAAAAGCTCTCGCAGAAACCTGAAATATATCACCATGATAACCATCACAGTGGTATCCTCGTTCCTTCGCTGACAAACGCCATGCAGCGACGCTTTATACAAGTCTGCCGACCGCTTTTGAAATTGTCAAAGAACGAGAGAAAATTGTCTCGGGGAGAATATTTGCAAGCACCATTAGTCCGTGCTACCTTACCAAATCCCAATGATCCTACTGGACTGCCAGTTTGCCTCGCTGGAAGTCACCATAGAGAAGATTTGACTAAAGTTCAAATACAGGTTAGTTCTGCCAAATTTGCCTCGGAATCACTTTCTCTTTAATATATCGGTCTCATATCGAATTTTTATGGCAGATGGATAATGGTTACATTGAGCCCCATCAGTTACCAACGTAAAGTTTTCAGAGTCACGTCCACTAGGTACTTGTCAAAACTGAAGACTTTGGCATCTCATTGCTCACTGTTTTAGAATAGGCAAAGCCGACAATGCTTATGATGGGCTTAGTCCGTGAAATTGGCCATTGAACAATGTCTGCTTACTGTGGTTTAAAAAACTCATCATAACTTGTGCGTAGTTAGTTATTCAACGACAAGTATTGGTGCATATATTCCAGGGGGCTGCGCCGGGGAGAATTTCATTAGTTAAGGGACATTGCGCCAAATTCTAGGACGTATCTATTTTCACGTTCTAATCTAAATTCTAAACAGCAAACGTCCCTCGAATATGGCCTAAAGTCACCTGTAGTACATGATTCATATCTTCGTGTTCCACCTGTTTTTCATTTTCTCTATATTTAGCATTTTGAAAATTACCGCAATTCAAAAATTTCACCAGACAAAGGATTTTCTTTTCGAGTCGTAGCTTATGAAAATATGAGTTATGAATCCACCCGATATTTTACTTGGTAAGCACACCGAGATTGAGGGCTGTCCTTGATCTTCGTTGAAAAAATCGCCTCTTTGAAAGGCCTGCTTCTTCTGATTTGGTCTCTTGAAAGACGGTAACTTCCTGTTCCATACGAGAAATGCCCTGGGAATGTGTTCATTGACTCCATGTCATTTTTAATGTAAAGTTTACATATATTTCTTTAAAAGGGTACGTGGTGATGAAGCTATTGAGATTAGCTATTATCTTATGGCACAATCATGTACAGTCCACGCGCCGACGTTCTATAATGCGCTCGTGGATGTTAGGCCAAGGTTGCTTTCACATTTCCAATATTTTTATAAAATATTCAGCCACCAATGTTTAACTTTCCTTTTATTTCCTGGGAGAACAATTGATTTTTCTTCTGCGCCCAACATATAGAGTATTTTGAGTTACGTTTTTTGCCTTTCCAAACCGACTACTCGCAGACCTTATCCATAAGACACGGCAAACCACTTCAACATTAACTAGCCGTGGCTAATCAATTGGCTTTAAAATATATAAAGTAAGTACGATGTTTTAGAACGAGCACAATGAAACACTGGGTACACGAGTCAACCGGCGCAACCTAAGTACTTTTGTTTTGTAGTTTACTGGAAAATTTTGGGCATTGGAAACTTTATCGTACCCATATCGTTTGGTGAGAGCAGACTTCTTTACTTCAAAGTCGTCCTTTAACATGTTTTAAGGCTTTCGTTTCGGTGTGGTTTGGCAGTATAAGGGAAGAAAAGTAGGTACTCATGAGTAACTTGTAGAATGTAGATTAACAAATAGCATCTCATCTATCCTACGTAAGGCTACGTATTGACAGTAGTTGTGCCTGCTCTGGCCAAATATAAGCAACCTACCCTCAGATTACTATGAGCGATTAACGTTGTAGTACTTTGTTGCCGGCGCTTGTTCCGACATTTGGTTCTTTGGTTTTTATCGGATAAATTCCCGACTTGACAATCAATTGCTCCTCCTTCGGGAACTCACCTTTTCCGATGACGCCGCATTTTTGAGCGCATTTGTCAGTGAGGCGTTATGTGTTCTGCGTTATGCACCTAGATAAGTGCAATTATTCACGCATATTTAACGCGAATGTGCGCCCAAACGCGCGCAGCTAATGGATTCTGTCAACGCCACGATAATGGCTCGTCCTTTTTGCCGAGTTCGAGTTTCCGCTTATCAGTACTGCCACTTTTTCAAGCTACTTTTCTGGTCTATCGAACTGGCATCGAGTCGGCCGTGCGATAAGTTAGCTCGGCCAAGTTCGGTCTATGGCACTGGCGATGCTATAGGAAGGAGTTTGGCTTCGTTAGAGTGCCACAACTTTATTTACTTTTTAGTCGCCGACACGTCAGCTTGCCTGATATGTCTCGTTCACTCGTCCTGTCTCCTAACGTACAAAATCCACTTATTCACAATGGTGGTACTCGAAAGTGCCCTCAGCCATGCGGCAAAACTAGGTAACAAATCCGAGAAGGACGCTACTCCCAGCTGGCCGTGAATTTTTCCGAAAGGCGGTTTTGCCGATATATCTCTCCTGCCTAAAACAGAGACCTCTTGAGGAATTTATGAGGCACATTTGCGGCTTCCTTGACGCACAGTTGCCTACTTCATTTCTTAAAAAGCTCGGCATCCTAAGAAGGCGTTTAAAGAGACAGTAGACAAAACTCGTCCTCTTCTTCTACTGCGAAAATAATTCGTTATTTGCATATGCAGGCATAATCAAGCATTTTTGAATTACAACACTTTGAAAATATGAGGCAGCGATGCGTGAGACTCTTGTTATTGAGTAAACCGTAACATTCATTCTTGATACCTGTTATGTTTTGGCCCCATATATCGGTTGAACGCAAAGAATGCCGCGTCTTGGCTTGAGCGTTTTTTAGGGACTAAGTGCTTCGCCAGATACTTAGTTCCAGATATGTTATATTAAGTACATACGAGAGGTGACCCTGCGACTTTCAGTGAGTAAAAGAAGACCTGAGAAAAAACCTCTCCCGTGTAAAGTCTCTCGGATTGCAACCGTAGTATTTGGTAAAAGAGTGTACCACGTGAACTGGAAACACTAGTTTTTTTCTTTGATCGGATGTTCCGCTGGCTGACCGCGTTTCCCGATACCGATCTGAAGTTGGCGGCATCATTCAAAATGGCCACTGATCATGCTTGAGACCTACCTATACAGCAGTCTCATTGTGTAACCCTCAAAATGCCTGTCTTTTCCTTCGAATGTCCCTTGACAACCCGAACTAGGAATTTACCTCCCAGCCTCAGCTTTACAGATACGTTTTTACTACAGTTCATGCGAAGGAACGACTGGTAATAAATAAGATTCCAGCAATATGCGTCTCTGACCACGAGTTGGATACATAGCCCAATGAAGTTTACGATTTCTGACGGATTAGCAGCAAGGACAGGCGAGATTGGGGCGATTTTGACCAATTTATCGGCCGTCGTTATACAACCATGTCACAACCTCAGGCTTAGATAATGCCGGACTGTGAACTCGGGTCCTTTAAGCATTCAGCATTAGATCGAATGACTTCCCGTTGAATCATGGGTTCGCTGCCTTGTCTTTTGCAAAAATACCAGATTTTGGTTCCAAGGCAAAGGTGGATAAGCATGTTCCCTACTGCAGTTTAAAACGCTGCAGCGCACCTGAAGAAGTTTACACCACAGCCATAGCTTTTTATACTGACGTTGAACAAAGTATTAAAAGCATGGTTTTTTAGGTGCCACCTCAAAATTTGTACGAAAATTTGAGTCGAGAGCTATTATTTTCGGCAAAACAATCACGTAAAACACTATGCAAACAATCAATAGGTAGTATATGCTGCATAGACAAAAATCAAGTGCATGTGGATGACATGTGGGCAGAGCTGGAGGAACCACCAGTGACTCGAACGTCCGGCGGTCGTGTCATACTGTTGCGGAACATTGTTGAAACATGTAGGCATCCTTTCAGCAACTTCCTATTTTGGCAGTATGATGAAGCGATTTCCGTTTATTAAAATGCCTCGATACACACTGGGCAAGACAGTGAGATTATATTAAGTCGGGAAGTGTTAGATATGGGGCTTCAATTTCGAGGACTACACCCTTTGTGACGCAAAAGACAAAGGTTTTCTGGCGGTCGGAATATCCCAGTAAACAACTATCTTCGTTTATCCCGCCTCTTCCTACGTACATCAGGAAAATACGAGCAAGCCATTTGTTTACACTTGATCTAATTTTTAAAATTTGAGTCTTTGCATTCACGGGAAAACTGGAAACCAGCTGCGATTTAAGTAGTTTCCAGGAATTTGCGTCATTTATTTGCAGTTGTTCCGTAACCATATATCTTTCATCTGGACATAAAGTTACGCTTCTTCTTTCGTTCATCAGGGCTCTTTTGACTTTTGCTAGACGTCGTCTGCATAGTTCACCAATCGCTGCTGCCACCAAGCTTGTCTCATGCCACAATATTTACTATCTACGACTAAATTGCGGTTCGTAGCAGCGCATAAAATCCGTTTCGGTTTTCTGTGTGTAAACGCCTGCGTGTGAAGGTGCGCAGTTTTTCACATTAACTCTATGCCTAACGACCGCTTGGTGAACCCGTGTCGAACATTTACAGAACAGAATTTGGTCACCTTTCCTAATGAACTCGTCCGGCCCAGACGCGCCGCAAGTGAACATACAGCCTAATGTATACGCATAGTTGATGTGGAGAACCTATGCAGGCACTTGACCAATCAGCATCTGAAAAACAAATATGCAGGCAGTAAAGGGAAAACGATGAGAAAAAACCTTGACGCTAAAATATCACTTTTTTTACTCATCACCCAACGGTCCCGAGAACTTGAGTGTAGTAAGGCAGCTGCGCCTGTGGCTGGCTTTTCTGAAAAACGAATAGAACGTAGTTCTACATTTATTTAGTAATCCATCTAATTGTTCGTACTATAAACCGCCACATTCCTACCGTATTGTCCATTTTTGCTATTTAACGTGCCATGTCTTTCACTGGGCACTGGGTTAGATGCACAGCATTCCCGCAGTTGCTTCATCTTCCTTATCCACAATCGTCATCTACTATATGATGAAGTGTGATGTAAAGATAGTTGTAATTAAGGAAAAGCGTAGATAGTCTTCTGTGGCCCTCTGAGTTAATGTTCATTGGGAAAGTTTCCTAACCCACACCGAGTGGCTCTGGGTGCATTCAAATGATCGAATGTAATTTGTCAACAAACGGGTGCCGAGCAAACTTAAGAATGCGGTTCAGAAACTAAGGAAACGCCCGCTAACTTAGCATCTTGGTCCCAATTTAGGTAGAGATGTTGTCGGTTAATTAAAAATTATAACCGTAAATTAAACAACTTTTTCGTTGTGTCTGTCCCCGATTACACGAGTACTTCTGCAGTCTGGCCGGTCAAGATGGCGAGAAAGAGAATCATACCAATTTCTCCCCTTGCATATTTGTCTGTAACTAGAACGGTTACCATGGTTGTTTCAGGCAATTTGAGGCAAACAAACGTGTCCCTTGTCAAATCGTAACGTTTGAGGGCATATTTTTGGGACTTTAAAATCCTTAGACATAGAGGATTTGTTTATCTTGAATAATTCAACATTGGGAGCAAAACCTATCTTAAAACAATGAAGCAACACAAACTAAAGGTACACATTCCGTTATTCATGAACTGAGTAGTTATTCAGTAAGTTCAGTTTATTCAGCTATGTGTCAGCGGGGTCAATAGACGGTGTTGTAAATTAGCGCGAATAAGAGAGAAGATTTTGCCGCAATTAGTCATCTATCAATTTACTGCAGTAAAGCAGGAAATGCTCACGGATGAGTGAAAAGTCGAAAAACGGCGGCCCAATTCGAAGAGTTCATTGTCATTTTCAGTGACAAGGGTATGGCTAATACCTAAACTGCACACGGAATGATAGCTGTGAGCATAAATTGACTACTCATCTTCCCACCGTCACACCGTATCTACTGGCTCGGCATCTCTTGCAATTCCGCTCGTGTAAGCAAAAACTGCTTTTACTTCCGGCTACGCCAAAAAATCAAAAGCCGTGATTTCTCTCTCTTTCTCTCTTACAATTCTTTGTATGCATTCCATGCACTTTTGGCAAGTCTTCGAAGTTCCATAATTTCCTAAAAATACTGCGTCAATAGTAAATATAATCGTTTCGGTTTTAACTGGTGGATGGCAAGTAAACATTTCGTTTCTATTTTTTCCTTAAATGCTCATTCTGTTCCGTCCTGGCTGAATCAATACTAACTCATCTATGGGCGTGTTTCATTTTGCATTCAGCGCGGTCAAGTCCAGTCCTCCTCGAGCGGCAGTGGTAGCGGTCTCCCTTTCCTCGTTCAAGCAACAGTGTCGAGGCAGATTGCCCTTCAGGAATGTATCGGTAAGTGTTCCTGCCTTACCCCCCCCACCCCGCCTCCCCTCGCTCTCTCCATGCCCAAGGGCAGAGTTGCATACGGCGCCGACCGCTCTACCAATTAAAGTCTAGAAGTGGGGACCAGTGTGATTATATCTCTCTCTGCCCTGCCGCTCCACATTGGTTTACTTCTCCCGCATGCCCCTCTTCGTCTGAACGCACTAGCCCAGCTGGCTTCGTGACCGGCCAGCTGTGCGCCTGTCTGCTCCCGCTAATTTGAACTGCACCAATAGCGTTTCTGCTTCTCCTCTTTTGCAGGCAAGGGGAGGTTTGGAGAAGTCTGGCGTGGCATCTATCGTGGCGAGAACGTAGCAGTGAAGATCTTCTCCAGTCGAGACGAGGCTAGCTGGGCTAGAGAAACCCAGATCTACAGCACTGTGCTCTTGCGTCACGAAAACATTCTCGGTTACTATGCCAGCGACATAACATCAAGGTACTGTTGCCCAATCGTGACACGAAGACTGATTTTCCAGCAAAACGAAGTATACTCGTTCATCACTTAAAATATTAAAACAGATCAGACTTTCCGTTCCACTTGCGAGAAGTTGTTAATTGTCAAAACTGATTCAGACAGTGCCCGAAAAGTTTACCTTTAATTGCCCCCTCATTCCTCGGAGGGACAGTTAAGGTATCCTAACCTTTAGCGAATTCAAAAGTAAATCTAGAAAAGAAAGTTGTGTTCAGCTTCGAGTCACTGTGATCCTATTAAGATTTGACGAACAGAATTAATCTCGCACGTAACTTTGCGCAGGAAATTTTTCAAGTTAGTGTGATTTAGTTTTGGTAATTAGGTGCTTCGCAACGTCTACTTCGAGTACTAAATTGTGGTAAACTGTGAAATAAACCGATGTTGGAACCCGAAACATATGAGAGTCTACTTTGAGAATTCGTGGCCACGGGCTCTGGAACGCCACCGAATGATTTGCATTTTATTTTGGGCACGATCCCATTTCGTAACCGTACCTGTTAGGGATTAGGATTAGTGGCTAGGGGTTGGGGTTAGTGTTAGGGGTGGGGGCCAATGGTTAGGGATTAAGGTTAGAAGTTGGGGTTAGGGGTTAGGATTAGAGGTTGGGGGTTAGGATAAGGGTTTAGGCTGAGACATGTCTACTGTAGGTACGGCTACGAAATGAGATCCGACCTTATTTTGCCTACTTTCTAAAGAAACTGGTAAGGCATTTATAGTAGCCAGTCTAGCTCACTGAATGATAATCGAAATTCTGAATAGCGTTTTCGTGGGGCTGTAATACTGATTTTCCTATTGCATTCCGCCATGATTTTTCAGTTCCGCAAGCATGCCACCTCCTGAATAAGTTCCTTTCCGGCCGCCCGCACAATCTATGCTAGATAAGAAATTATTACTTTGTATGCATTTTTACATAGATTTACAATGACGTTATAAATTTTGGTAAAACTTGTACAACAACATACGAAAATCTCCTTTCTCGTTTTCATTTGGCAGTAGATTGCGCCTTTGTCAAATTTTATATTCTAAGGAAGAACGACTTTCAATTGCCGAGCGACTTTGAGCCCGATCTAAAACGACACTTTCACTTAGGGCTGCCAAACTACACGCTGCGCACGATCGATGTAAGAAAAACCCTATTTTTATCTATGTCATTAAAAAGATGTCATATAGGGCTCACAAAATTTTGCATTAGATGTGGAACATGTTATAAACTTCATAACCAGCATCAATAAGCAGACGGATACGATGATGTACAGATGAGTGTCCCAGTCTTTATAAATCTCATAATTACAAACCTTTTCTAAATTGAAAAAGCCCCTTTTCCATGTATAAAATTCGAAGAAGGCACAATCTTCTATCAAAAATGTACAAGAACGAATATTTTGTACATTTTTTCTACAAAATATATTTGAATTTATAAGAATACCGAAAATTAACGTGAAAACTTTCTACAGTTTAAGTAGTCATGTTTTATAGTGTGTAGTTTTTGCGGGCGGATAGAATAAAACTCATCCAGAAGCCGGCATTCCGACGAGGCTAAAATATTTTGGGTCCTGCTCCATGATAATCAGTATTGCAACCCCACCTAAGTAATCGTTCTGATCGAAAGTACATTTCAGAATTTCCGTCAACATTTAATAAGACAGGCGATCAGCAACTTGTTTGCTTAATAGGTTGATGTTGTAAATACTTCTTCACAAATACATCGGCAGCCAATCCGTTTGCCCATACTACAATATGACTGTATTCGGCAGAAATTTTTGCAAATTACTAGATAACACCTGTCCCACCGCCCTATGTCCAGGTCTCATGTAGTTTAAGAGATTGGGGCCAGGTAAGCTGGAATTCGTGTCTCCCAGGCGCATAAACAAAAGTATGTGCTAATGCATAACTTCCGTAGGAAGAATTCACTCTGTAAAATGGCGTGATAGCACTCTCTAGAATTATTATACCCACTTTGATAAAAAGTGCCATTTCTAACTCTTTTTGGCCATCAGTCAGCCACATAGCAAGCCCAGGTCCGGGAGACTCGAGGTTTGAACTGGGATCCATTTTGACAACGGTTATTCGCCTAGAGTTGGTATACGGCCGGTTGGCAACTTTAAGTGGAGCAGAAATGACCGTTCTAGCCTCTATTCTACTTTTTCGTGATGCTTCTCAACTACCGATTATTCTGCGCTATGCAGCTGTCCACCACGACCATAAAATTAAGTCAAACAGGATACCCCTGTTCACCCCATAGACAGGTCAGGTTGATGCAACTCATTGTCGGGTGCCTTAGAGCAGTGATTTTTCTAACCGCGTACGCAGTTCGCAGAACAGTGCCCCGTTAGTGTGCATTCCGTAGCCGGGGTTACTAGGCTGGGACAGTTGTGCTGCGCGTCCCTGTGAGTCCGCTGCATCTCTGGCAAGTACACATGCATTTAAAATATGCTGCAGGCAGGAAAACCAAATGACCGTACTGAAAACGTTGATGTCTGAAAAGCGCAATCAAGCCATTCAATGGATTACTGTTCAACAGGCTTTACGCGATGGTTCCTATTACATTTATTGGCTACTTGTATATAGAAATGCCTGTCACACTGTGGTCATGTGGTCAGGTGCCTAAAATTTGCTTTCTTTGTCCGGCTCAAGGCATGGTTGTACACAACTCTGGATAATTTCTCATTATCATCCATACGGTTCGCTGTACGACTTTCTTCGCTCACATGTGGTGGACACCGTCGCAGCCATCCGTCTGGCGAAAACAGCTGCAGCAGGCCTGTGCCACTTGCACACGTGTATTCTCGGACTGCAGGTCAGTGGTATTTACCCTTTCCCTGTTGCACAACCATCGTCTATTATTTTCTGATGGCACCTCCCTGTCCGCCGTTCTCCCACACCCCCCCCACCCCCCTCCTATGCTGCAGATATCCCCCTCGAGAACATGAGCTGAATTTCTCCCTGCGTAGGGTCAGATTTCCTGGGGTAGTCAGGGCTCTTAACTTAGTACTACACTTAGCGTTAAACCGATTTCTTATGAATTGGCATGGCAGTTGTTGCTCGGATAATGCTCTGCCCTGTTTTTACTCATAGGAAGGAATCGAACTCGATACTAGACTTGATGCGCTTTGACTGGTCCTCTGTAGTACGTATATGTAGATGGAAAATGTTATTTCCCCAAAATATGTTAGTTTCATTACTGCCCTATTTTCAAATCTTTATTAAAGTAACCGGAACATCTCATTATGATAGCAGGGCATAATAACGCCCCGTAAGGGAGTGCGTACTCATCATTCATAAATAGCAACCGCCTATGATGATGGGTTCGAGTGAGAGTCTGAAACGTCCGGCCAATAAACTTCTTGTCCCAGCGATCGCATCATCATCATAATCATCATCATCATCTTTTATTTTTATGCGACTTACACGCCGCCCATAAAGGTATGCTGAGAAATCTTCATTGGTTTCTCTTACCTACTGCATAGCATGACTTAGAGACAGAAAGTTCACTAGTAGACTGGCGAGCAGATTCTAAATTCTTCTGGTCTCAAAGTCACTGGAAATTCTCAAACTAAAGCTGTAAACATCGAAGAAGTAAAACCTTTGAAGCAGCCTCGCGATACGCACGCACCCACGCTCCAGTGCGCCACGCTCAAATTTTAAGGGAGTTCGCAGGGTGCACATGCCCACCGCCCTCGGCCAAAAAGAGACGCTATCGGGGAGGCATATGGTGGTCGTATCGACGGTGTGAAAAGGGAAACTCGAATAATCTGCCTTCATCTGCCTGTTGCACACCAGCTGTCTTCCGTCCCCTGTGGCGCCCATCTCAGCGTCCGCCTGATTCAACAGTCAGCTCTTCCCCCCCCCTCCCCCCCTCCAGCGTCTCCCACCGCCGACGCAAGTGTGTTAACTTTCGAGAGCAACAGGGGTAGAAGCGACGGCGATGCGAACTGCTTGCATGCCAAGTGTCCTGGGCGGGGGGGATGTGTGAGACGCGACGGATGACTTTAACCGCGGAGGGTACGGTTTTCACACTCCTCCCCTGGGTAACTGGCGCCACCGACACCTGGCGTGCCATCTCCCAAGTCGGCCGCTGCTGCCTCTTGCTAAGCAGAGGACGGGGAGATTTGGTTTGAGTTCGCAGTTCCGCAATCAGGGCCACGCGCCCCGCGCGACATCAAACTATTTGATCTCTGCTCTGTGCGAGTGTGCGTGTTAGCGTGATTCGGAACACAGAGGCCTCTACTTGCCAATCCTACTTAGTGGACTCTGCCTCCAAAGCACTATCGGCTACTGCAACTTTTCACTTCGCGTATTTTCCATTCCCTCTTCATCTAGGGCAAGCCAGCAATAGCGCATAGGGATATAAAGTCGAAAAACATCCTCGTACAGGCCAACGGAACCTGCAGCGTTGCCGATCTTGGCCTAGCGGTATTCCATTCCCCTGGTTGTTCGCCGGATGTGGACATTGGTTTGCCAAATCACAAGGTGCGATTTACAAGCATTGTACAGTTTATGCCCTCTTGCCCTCTGCCCTATTCAGCTACTTAGATGTCCTTATTAATTCGGGAATGCAGGTGGGCACTAAACGCTACATGGCTCCAGAGATTTTGGCGGATGAGAGCCTGGATGAGCGCTGTGAGGCAGATGGCATCATTGCCTGTGACTCCGAAATCAGTGCTCTACGTCGCTGCTCTCCAACCGACTATAAACAGAACAGTATACTCAATTCGCGAACTCCCCACCCCCAGGGCGCTCTGGGACTAAACTTTGAAGGTATGAAAGCGGCCGACGTCTACGCTTTCGGGCTTGTACTCTGGGAAATTTTCCGAAGATGTTTCACAGCAGACGGTAAGCGCATGCTGACTTATTGCTTCGAAATCGCCCCCGAATACTGTACTGATCACATCCTAGAGAAAGGGAGTGCATATTTATCTTGAAATCTGACGACTTTTCAAGGAGAGTGTCTCCGAGAGAGAAATGTAGATGTTATCATTATTTAAATGAGGAGTTTTCGCATGAACTCTATTTTCTCAGAGGAATTGGGAGCATACTCAATAAAGGGCGTCATTAGCACGAATAAACAAAGAAGAATGTATGATTTCCGTTGGTTAAACACTCATTTTCTTTCTTCATAGCCGGGGAATGCCTTTTATAAACGACAAGCGAAAAGTTGCCCGTGTGTTTGAAAGGCCTGTCATATGACAACTTTCTTTGTGCTTTATCCTGCAGATTATGCAACATTATTTTCTGACTCTGCTAAGCCATGGAATTTGTGTGAAGCTCAGTCCGGCAAGGCCTTATTTCGTGGCCGTACCTGTTAGGGGTCAGGGTTCGGGTTTAGAGTTGGGATTAGGGGTTGGGCTTAGAGGTTGTGGATAGAGTTAGGGTTAGGGGTTAAACTGGGGCTTGTCTACTGTAGGTACGGTCACGAAATAAGATCCGACCTTCAGTCTATTTAAAATAACTACCCCCAGCCTAATTTTCTTTCGACAGACGACCAAACCCGTCTCAATTGCAATGCTAACATCTAATATCAACTGGCATCCCAACAGTGAGGTAACAATGCAGACGTGAGGATGCATCCCACTGGCTAATTCATGCGTACCTCCAAATTAACCGTGAGCTGAACTTTATGTGTTCAGTCCGGAGTTCCCAGTCGCTCACACTGTAGACGTATACCACGTGCAAAAAGCACGTGGACACTAAGAGCTTGTCCCTTGCTATAGGCAACAAGGCATACATTGCTATGACAGTTCACACTGAGCTGATTGTCATCGTCTGACACCGTTTGCATCACGGCGGTGGACAGGGGTTATAAACAATGACGATGGGCACAGCCACCTCAAAACTTGTGTGAATATCGTCGTAACTATAATTAGGCAGAGCAGTAGACTGGGTCATAAAGTTGTGAGTTGGATTCCCACGTTGAACGGACAAGATTTTCTTGATAGGCAAGGGAGGGGAAGTACACCGAGAATAGTTGTAATCGGTAGATCCTTGGCCACTTGTACAAAGCTGATGGGACCATTTTCGGACTATGTAAGTTAGGGGTTCGGTGAAATTCATAATGTCTTTTCTTCTCTATTGCTGACAGATGAGGTGGACGCCAGTCGCGTTCCCTTCTGGGACCAGGTCCCAGCTGACCCCAGTTTTGAGGAGATGCGACAAGTTGTGCTAGTACGAAGAATTCGCCCGCCAATTTCGGCCAGATGGTTAGGTGACAAGGTAAGTCACAAACATTGTCTTTGTGTTTTTGGAAATTTCTCCGTAAAACGCACTTACGACTGGCAAACCTCCAGACAGTAATCGGGCTGATTTTGCAAGGAATAGCGAGGATGTCTGACTACTCATGACATGCTCATTTACATGGTCATAAAAAATCGGATGATCTAGGCGCGGGTGCCGAAAGCGCAGCTTTATATGATCGCTTTAAGACTTATTTGGATGAGCTAGTCTCCAATAATACTTTGTTCCGCGCATTTGTAAGAGTCACTGAGCTGCTAACAGCTAGTCACATTCCCAAGACGATTCTGATTTGGGGTTTTATACTAGATCAGGGCATCAGGGACAATAAAAGGAATTGTGTTCGAATTACAGTCAAGTATAATAATTCTGAGCATCTTCATACTTCCAAAGCCTTGTAATCAGCATGAGTTCCCAGGATCGGCTTTGACGACAAAGGAAGAGATACAAGTTGGCTACTGTCTGAGTGGACATTTAAGTCTCCTTCAAGTAATATATTCTCTAACTTCTCATTTGTCCCTTCTCTCTTCCTTTTTTCAAGGTTTTGAGCCGCTGTGCCCGGTTAATGCAAGAGTGCTGGCATCCGATACCTGCTGTGCGTTTGACAAGTTTGCGGGTGAAGAAGACCCTAGACGAGGCCTTCCTTTCTGCCATCAATGCCCTTGACCTCAACGCCACGGGAACCGTCACAGTCAACATCGATCTGACAGATGGCAAGATGGATACCGCCTACACCACACCCACCCACCGAGCGGGGGACAGTGGCATAAACAGTCGTAGTAACGGATGCTCCTATCAACCGTGTTTCCCTCCCAACACCTGCCCCATATCCCCACCTACAGACCATCAGCTAAGGAGTCCACGCGACTACCTAACTCTGGGACGGATTATTCGGAGACCGTCATCCCCGGAGACCGGGAACTGCGAGGAGCTGGTGGAGGCAGCAGAGGGGAAAGCGGAGGGAGAACGAAGGGCGAGGCATGAGGACGATTGCGCACACCGCCTCCGACTTGCACTAGGCAGTACCATCCCAAGTCAACCCGCCTCAATACTCCCTTCGCCATTTAAAAGCAAAACAAAAGGCTGGGAGGCAGAGGAAGTTCAAAACAACAACGATAATGACGGCTCCATTTGCCCTAGATCGAGAGTACAAATTGGCCAAATGTCAAGTGGCTTTTAAGGTACGCTAGTAAAATGATAAAAATTAACCTCGATGGCAGACTCTAAACGAAAACGTCTTGCCTAGTATTCACCGTAGAGGGAATGTTTCAGCCCAGACAATACCCGGTTTAATTATCTGTTTTAGGTGTTCTCCTGATACGATATCACTAAAATAAATGGCGTTAGTGTCATCTA